ATGACCCAATTAAAAGATGGGCTATGATTCAGAACAGAGAGCTCTCAAAAGAAGAAATAAAAATGACTAAGAAGCACCTTAAGAAGTATCCGACCTTAGTAATAAGGGACATGCAAATCAAAAGTACTTTAAGATTTCATATAACCCCAGTCAGAATGGCTACGGTCAAGAGAACAAATGGTATCAACCGCTGGTAAGGATGCAGGGAAAGGGGAACCCTCCTTCACTGTTGGTGAGATTGCAAACACTGTGGAAAGCAGTACAGAGAACTCTTTTTTTCTTGAGATAGGGTCTCCCTGTAGCCCCAGCTGTCCTGGAACTCACTATGTAGACCAGGCTGGCCTCGAACTCAAAGATCCGCCTGCCTCTGCCTCCCAAGTGCTGGGATTAAAGTCGTGCACCACCATGCCAAGCCTCAGAGAGCTCTTAAAAAAATTAAAAATAACTCTACCATATGATCCCATCACACCACTCCTTGGCATAAATACTCAATGGACTCATCCTACCACAGAGATACTTGCACAGCCATGTTTGTTGTTGCTCTTTTCACAATAGCTAAGAAATGGAAACAACCTAAATGTCCCTCAAATGATGACCAGATAATGAAGATGTTTACATTTACATAATGGAGTCCCACTCAGTGGTAAAGAAAAACAAAATCATGAAATTTGCAGGTAAATGGATGTATGTTCTCTCTCTTTTGTGGATCTTAGTTCCAAATCCTTAGATACAAATATACATCCTGATGTAACCACAGGAGCCAGGAAAATGGAAAGGAACCATGGGGGTAAAGGGGAAGAAGGAGCTCAAGTGAGGAGGATGGGAGATAAGTATGACATATTAAGGGTGAAATGGGGAAAAGGGAGGTTCTTTAACTGGGGAGGGAGTAGGGAGGATTATACAGGGGGAGTGAGAGGTGAGATAACACTTAGATGATGTGAAAAAACCAGAAATATTACCTCAAAGTCCTAATGTAAAATACATTATACTATATGAGTGCATATATATTAGCTGAAGCCTATATAACAAAAAACACAGTGCCAGGCAGGAAAAACCTTCAAGTTGTTGGTCAAGACAATTCAAAAGCCTCCCAAAGTAATACATAGTGATGGCTAAAAAATGTTAATTACTTAAACCATTGATACAACAGAATGCCAAGGAAGAGAAAAAGTGGGTATGATCGTGATAAATGTGCATGCCTATAATCTCAGAGTGCTATATACTGCCACTGTACTGCCCGAAGTCTATGGTCATGTCTCAGGTTTTCTGGGTCCATGTGTGCTTTGCTAGTTTTTTTTTAACTTCAATTTTTTTTTTTGTGTGTGTGTGTGTGTATTTCATACAGAACATCCCAAACAACCTTATTCATCTTTATAGCAGCACACCCAAATGGCACCCTCCTATCCGCTCCCCTCTCCAACTGGAGCCCATATACTCTGTCATCCCTGTTACTGTCCACTCTGATGCCAGTGCCCGCTAATTCTAGTCAGCCTATCTAGAGTTCCTTGTTTTAGGGAGATCAGCTCTTCCTCATCTAGCAGCAATCAGTCGCCAACATTTCTTTAGATAAGCCTGAGGTCTGCTGTTCATTTTCCCATTTCTATGCTGGGTTACTGTCTGGGAGTCTCTTGGGCCACCTTGGACAATAATTCAAACGAAGGTATCTCCTGTCTGGCATTGTTTCTTGTTATGTAGCCTTTAGCTATACACATGGACTCTTAAAAGAATTATACTGATCACCTTAATCTTTGGCTATACTTTCCTTTTGGGTGTTTAAGTCCATACAATTGGCCCAGATTAACCAATTTAGTTTTAAGGTTGTTTGAAGGTCTGTTCCTCAGGGGTCACATGGGCTTGGGAGGAACTTCTGGCTCCTTTCTCCTTATCTTCAGGCAGTTCCATCTACCTGAAGATAAGTCAAAGGTCCTGCTCAACTGTGGCTGGCTTCACTTGGAAGCATGGAGAAAATGTTCCCTCTGTGTTGACCCTCCTCTTTGTAGACTGGACACTGGCCTAAGTCCATCTGGTGGTCTTGATCAAGCCTTCTTGATCAAGAGGACAGGTGACTCACCACAGTTAACAGGACATTTTGAGAGATGCTCCACAGTCCCCTGGAACTTAGTTGACCTTGGAAGGCAAGGAGCAAAAACTGTCCTTTAAGTCCCTCTGACCAGATTAGTATAGATCTCAAAGTATGGCTGTTAAACATCCAAGAAGGTTAGTTCCACCTCTCTGACACGTTTAATTACCATGCGCTACATAGATAAAGCTTGGGCAAAAACCAAACGTTCTCCAATAAACCTTGACTAGACATATATTATGTTCCTTGAGCTAGCTGTATGTACAATTTGTCAGTAGATTATTGGACTAATAATATGGTTCCCGCTGTTTTTTTTAAATTAGCTAGGCATTATTTATCTCTCTCATTGTCTAACCCTTCCACCATGGTTTCTTTAAAAAGAAAAAAAAAGGCATTATTACTGGGGGTTTAGCTTTGTAGTTGACCACTTGCCTAGCATAGCTCTGAGTTCACCTTTAGCAGTGCAACCAATCAATCAAAAAGAAAAACAATATTTGAGCCAGGTGTGGTAGCATATGCCTATGATCCCAACATGTAGGAGGCAGAGAGGCAGAATTCAGAGTTTGAGACCAACCTGGGCTTCATGAGTCCATGTTAAAAAAAAAAAAAAAAATCAAACCAAATTTACTAGGGCTAGGAATATAATTTAGTTGAAAGCGCTTGCCTAGCAAACACAAGGCCCTGGGTGTGTGTACCTGAAGCCACGCCCCCCACACCACCCCAAAAAGTGTTTACATATAGCATTTCCTGGTTAAAAAAAAAATTTTAAGATGGAAAGTGACAAACTCATCATATTAATATCACTTAAAAGCAACTTTAATAAACTGGATTTTCAGGCTGGGCATGGTGGCACATGCCTTTAATCCCAGCACTTGGGAGGCAGAGGCAGGCAGATCTCTGTGAGTTCAAGGCCAGCCTGGTCTACATAGTGAGTTCTAGGACAGCTGGGGCTACAGGGAGACCCTGTCTCAAAAAGACCAAAAAAAATTTAAAAGTCAGCATCAGACCTTGTAAGTCCCTAGCAAATGAAAACTCAGAAAATTAACAGCTACCAAGCCCAGCACTTGGGAAGCAGAGGCAGGTGGATCTCTGTGAGTTCGAGGCCAGCCTGGTCTACATAGAAAGTTCCAGGCCAGCTGGGGCTACAGGGAGACCATGTAGAGATAAATTCTCAGTGCTTCCTATACATTAGTCCAAGACTGATTCCAGGAGTCTAAAAATCTTTCAAAAGTTTTTAAAAGGCTTTTATATCCAGACCCCAAAACTCCCACCCAAACCCAGCCTCTGGTTTCCTATACAATCTCATCCTTTCATTCTACACTCATCGCATGGGGCTTTTATGCAGCTCTGGTACTGGCCAACTTCATTTTAACCTCAGGATCTGTATGGCTCTTCTACCTGCTTGGACTGTTCCTTCTCCAAAGTTCATAAGCAAGTACTCTCATTCTTTTAGGATTCCATCAATAATTACCTCTTCATATAAGTGCTAGTGGTCAACTTCTTTTAAAAGTCACAACTAAGGAGCATCAACAATTTGGCTCAGTAGGTAAAGGTAGCTGCTGCCAAGCATAAGGACCTGAGTTTGATCCCCAGAACCCAGAGTGGAAGGAGAGAACCAACTCTCCAAAGTTGTACTCTGACCTCCATGTACTCACTGTGGCACAGGCACTCAATAAACAAATAAATGTAATGAAATTTTTAAAAAATAAAAATAAAGCTGGGTGTGGTGGCACACAGCTGTTAGTCCTAGCACTTGGAAGGCAGAGGCCAGCTTGGTCTACATAGAGAGTTCCAGGCCATCTGGGGCTACAGGAAGACACTGCTCAAAAAGACCAAAAAATAGATAAAGCCATGGCTAGCAAATAAGGCTCTCCTGCGTTAGACATGGTGGTTCACCTGTAATCCCAGCACTCAGGAAAGGGAGGCAGAGGACTTCCTGAGTTCCAGGCCAGCATGGGTTATAGAATAAGACCCAATCTCAAAATAGAAAAAGAGGCTTTTTGCCTCATGTTATCCTTACAGTAGATCATAAAAAAATCAACAGGGATTGCCTATGTCAAATTAAAACACTTTTCTTTACTGGCAAGCATGGAGCTCCCTAAGCTCTGTAACCTACAGCTGAAAGTACTTATAAACTCTCTTCCTTTTAATTCTTCTTCTTCTTTTTTTGTTTTTGTTTTTGGTATTTTTGAGACAGGGTCTCCCTGTAGCTCCAACTATGTAGATCAAGATGGCCTCAAATTCAGAGATTCACCTACGTCTGCCTCTCCAGTGCTGGGATTAAAGGCATGTGCCACCACACCCAGCCATTTTCTTACTGAACACTTGTTCTTTCGTATTTCTTCACAACTTTATAATGTGCCATCCAATACATAAAAACAAAGTACTAAATTAACTATATAAATGATTTTAACCCATAGCATTTGGCATCTTACAAATAGCAATTCTATACAAACTTTTTGTAAACAAATTTGTGAAGAAAAAGCACAAAGATCATCTGCAAAGTTTCAGGGACTTAAGGGAAACTGTTCTTTAATAAACTTAGTCAAAGGCGCTTACAACACCTAGCTCATAAGATCAAATATAAGCGTCAAAATTAAAAAAAAAAGTATCAGACCCTAATTTTCACATTTTCCTTTACCATTAAAAGGCCTTGCTCTCAAATAAAATACAGGAAAGTATTTTTTGTTGTTGTTTTGTCTAGGAGCTGTGGGATGCAGAAGTGTGGGGTGTGGAAGGTCAAGACCAGGGGTCTGTGGCAACAGTGTCATCGTGGCACACAAGAAGAAAACCGAAGATCTCAAAGTTGGAAATGAGATACAGTAAACAATGTAGCTTAGGTCCCAAGAATGTAATGCTGGGAAGAGGCAGGGCCTGCAGGAACCCCCGCACCGTCCCAGGGCGATAAGAGTTCACTCACCTCTAACGCTGCCTGGGGGTCCTCGTCGATTAGAGCATCCGAGAAGCTCTGGAAAAACCTGCCAAGGAAACAAGGACTTCAGCAGGGCTCACTAATCAAGAAAAGAATACTAAAACAACAAGGGTAAAGTAAAACACGCACCGCTGGGTCGTTGCAGGTCCTGCTGCAGCCGCCGCCATCCCAAAGGGTCACGGGCTTCTACCCGAGCGGTTTCTACCGCGGTAACCTGCTCCACCGCCGCCGCCCGGAGGGGGGAGGGGGGGAAACTTCTGGAGAACACCAACCGAGCTTCCGTCCTCGGTAGCCAATCAACAGCCCCAGAGAGACGCTGAAGGGGGGGCGGAGGAAGAGGGGAGGGCGACGGGCCGGCAGGCGCGGGGCCGGCTGGGAAGGCGGAGGACCTGCTCTCCGAGCCCCGCCCACTAGCCCCGCCCCAGGACCGCACCAGGCCACGCCCCCCAAAGCCATGGTTACGGAGGCCGCGCTCCCTCTCGCTCTCCCGCACGGCCTTCAGGTCCTCAGTAGGAGCGTCTCAGAGCCACGCTGTAACGCTGGGATCCCTTCAGAGCTTGTGCGACTCAGGTGTGTTGGACTTCGCGCATGCCACGTCAAGCTCCGTTTTCCCTAGTTTCCATCATGGCTACCGCAGGCTGCCAAGCTTTCCGTGACGTCACTCGTGGCTACCAGTTCTTTTCTGGCAGTCGCAGAGACCAGTCTGGGGTGTCCTACCTAACCGACTGACCAACCGGAAGTCGTTTACTCATAGTGAGAACGAAGTTTATCTGTTGCAGCAGTCCGCACCCCAAACTTTCTTCCTGGTGGGTTTTACAGACCAAGAAAAGCCTTTTCTGAAGGCACGAAGGGGATGAAGGTGGCCTAAAGTCTCAGTGTTGTGTTCTAACTAACCGACCAGGCCTACCCCTCCACCATCATTTGAGCCAAGCAGATCGAATTACGAAACTTCCTGCAAGTTCTCTGTGACGCCGTTGTAAAGGGGAGCAGAAGTGGGAGAGGCACAACAGAAGCAAGTACTAGAACTAAAGTATCTACTGCATTCACACTGCACACCAAACTCTTGATTTCAAAGCAGTGAATGCCATCAAGAAGCCTAATGCCAAATCCATTCAAATAAATAAAAGGGGTGGTCAGGTAATGAATGATTTCCAAAGATGGCTTCTTCAAAGATGTGATACCACAGCTCAGCCTGGAAACAGTAGTCTCATGGAAGGAAAAGAAATGTCAATTCAGGCATTTGCTTGCCTGTCTATTGTTAAGCCTACCAGCTTTTCTGAGTTCTAACTCAGAAAGGCTTTAACTTTGCCTTTCCATCTTTTTCCCATAAAGGCTGAAATCCTAAGCGTATTTTCCCGTATAGTCTGGTCAGTCTTACTTTCTGTAAACACACCCTACCCCATGCAGTTGCAAAAAAATTAAAAAGGTCAATTTAGACAGGAAAAAATGTGTTTGAAAATGTAATAAGCGTATATTCAAGTTAAAGATGATATATGGCTTGAGTATGTGTCAGTCATAAAGGGATATAGGTGTGGAATACTAAAAAGGTCACAATGTTACTCTTCTAAAATATTTTTTATTGAGAATTTCATGCAGTGTATTTCGAGCATATTCAGATACACACCCCCAACTTCATGAATTCTATTTTTCTTTTTCAAAGGCTTATAGGCCTATAAACATAATGCTTATAATTTTGTGTTCCCCCAAATCCTCTTCTTGAGTGTGAGTCCATCCTCTGGAGCCTCATCAACCTGCCAGGTGTCATATCAAAAAAGGAAACTGATTCTCCTCCCAGCAGCTATCAATTGCCAAGAAATCTTTAGCTAGAGCTGAGGCTTCTTGCCCACCTCCCCCATCCACGCTGGGCTTTTGTCTGGTTCAGCCACAAGTGCTGTGGGCTCATATGTGCAACTACCCTATTGTGTCCAGGCAACAAGGTTTCTTTGTATTCATCCACCACCCCTGGCTCTTAGAATCTTTCTGTTTCCTCTTCTGACCCCTGAGATTTGGGAGGAGAGGGTGTGATATAAATGTCCCATATAGACCTTGCAGTCTCTTATTTTCTGCACACTGACTAGTTGTGGGTCTCTGTGGTAACTGCTATTTGCTACAAGAATCTTCTCTGGTGAGAGCTGAGAGATGTACTATCTATAGATATAATGCTAAGTCATTAGGAGTCAGTTTAATGTCCATTTAGCAGAACAGCAGTAGTAGGTTCTCCCCTAAGGCCTGTGACCTGTCTAGCCACAGGCTCTTGGCCCTGGTAACAGTACTAGATATGGCTACATCTTGTAAAGAAAGTGGGTCTTAAATCCAATCAGAAGGGTTTTTGTTATACCATAACATTTGTGCCATTATTACACCAATGGGCATATCTTGTGAGGCCAGTCATTATTGTAGCTCCAGGCTGGATAAGGTTGATGTTTAATTTTCAAGTAGCATGCACAGCACCTTCTAGTAGAAAGCTAGCCAGTAGAGATGAAGCTTCAAGGTCAGTACCAGCTTGATTTCTCCTCATTTGCTTTCATACGTAGTATCTTTGGCACTAGTCTTAACCATCAGGCTCTGGCAAGTAACCAAAAGCAATGGCAACAGCCAGTGTGGTTTGAGAGTCTGTAAGACACCCCTACTCGACAACTCCAAAAATGGGAGTCGTGCTGGCATTGGGTTTTTTTATTTGCTAGTCTGTGGTGTCTCTTAGGCCCATTGAACTCCTGTTATAGGGTAATTCCATTTAAACTCTTTTTATAATGTGTATGTATATATTTTAAGAAGTTTCTAAACTAGGTTTCCGTATGACTTTTTCAAAAGGCCTTTAGTGTTCGTTATCCCTCCCCTTACTCCCTCCTCTGCCCAGCCCTCCCATTTCCCATTCCATTTAATTTTTCCTATTCCACTATTCCTATTCCCCCTTTATTTCATCACATTCTATCTCCTATCCCGTGTACCTGCCCCCCATGGCCCCTTATTAATTTCCTCACCCCTATGGATTTTCCAACTGAAAGACATGTTACTTTTAATGATGCTAACATGGCATGAGTTTTGTTTTTTTTTAATCAAGAAAGGCAGTAATGGGGTCCAATTTGCACTTTGTAGGTATAGTCTGTATTGTACATGAATGGTTAAAGGGGAAAGAGAACAGTTGATGGAAGCTAACAGATCAAAGAAATGAATCTGAATCTACTGATTGTAGGAAGAGAGAGGAAGGTAGAGAGATACTTGGAGTAGAACAATGTGGGCTTACTGTCAAACTGAAAGGCCCAATTTCTGGTTTGAATAAATGGTGAGATGATGATGCCATTCGCTGAATTAGAAAACTAAAATGAAGCAGATTTTTAAAGGAAAGGCAGAGTTTTAACTTGGATCTATTGAGTCTAAGGTGGCTCTAAGTTTCTAAATGTTCCCAGCAGATATTAGAATACATAAAGATGGGACATGTAAAGATGAGACTTGTTCAGGTCTTTTGCATGAACATTTTAAAAACTGAGTTGCTGGTTTTATTTTTAATGTATGGTTTGGATGAGTTATTTCTCAGATACCTTTACTACAGAGATCTTGTGCCAGTTTTTATTTCATTCAATACTAATACAGTGTAGTCCACTTTACCCCTTAAAATCAGTACTTTTGTGTCATATATAAAACTTTGCCTATTCCAAGACTGTTAAAATATTTTCTTTTACGTGGTTTACTTTTCACATTTAAGTCTATTATTTATATACATTGAATCAACTTTTGTGAAATTATGACAGATTAAAGATTCATTTTTGGCCAGGTGTGGTGCCGCACACCTTTAATCCCAGCACTTGGGAGGCTGAGGCAGGCAGATCTCTGTGAGTTCAAGGCCAACCTGGTCTACATAGTGAGTTCCAGGACAGCTGGGGCTACAGGGAGATCCTGTCTCAAAAAGACCAAAAAAAAAAAAAAAGATTCATTTTTGCCTGCATACAGATACTAGACCAACCCTACTTATTGGAAAGGATCTTCATTTTCCCTACTAAATTTTATGGCTTCTTTATTACCATGTACAATGTTCAAGGCACCTTCTAGGAATCAGAATTACCAAACATACCAGCACATTAACTTTGGATTTTCTGTCCTCCAAAACTCTAACTCTGTTCATAACAACCCAGTCTTTGGTATTTTGTTACAGTAGCATAAATGAACTGCTATTTATACAGTGGCAAACCTCAATATTAACCTAGTTAAAAAGATTTGCTGAGAGGGCTCGTTGGGTAAAGGCATTTGCTACACAAACCCGGAGACCTGAGTTCAAACTCCAGGACTGACAGTAAAGGTAGAAAAAGTTATTCTATGACCTCCATACATGTGCTATGGCACATGTCCACACACACATCATGCATATGCACACACCATAAAAAACTATTTGGTTTAGTCAGGTGTTATGATACACACTTGTTATCCCAGTAATTGTGAGTCTGAAGTAGGAAGACTGCCAAGAGTTCAAGATCAGTTGGACTGTCATAGTTAAGTTCAAGGTCAGCCTTGGCAATACTTTGAGACCATTTCTCAGCAAAACAAAGCACACAAGCAGAGATGAGCATGGTGGCAGAGGCTTTTAATCCAAACACTCAGAAAGCAGAGGCAGGTGGATCTCTGTGAGATTGAGGCCAGCCTGGTCTACATACTGAGTTTCAGGCCAGCTGAAATATAGTGAGCACATATCTCAAAAAAAAAAAAAAAGTTACCATTGAGTGTAGAGGAACCACATTACAGAGACTTGTTTTCTTGAATTGTCTTCTATGTTTTCCAAGTGTACCAGTTAACTGATCAAGTTTCTAATAAGAAAACCTGTTTGAGGGCCGGTGAGATGGCTCAGTGAAAAAATAATCATTTGCTACATAAGCCTGATGGCCTGAATTTGGATCCCCAGAACCCAGGTAAAAGTCAGAAGCAATAGCACGGCATCTGTAGAACCTGTCTCAGACATGGTGGAAGGCAAGGGCCCACACCTGAGGTTGTTCTCTGACCAACACCTGAACACTCTTTGTAAAAGTATATTTACAGGGGCTGGAGAGATGGCTCATTAGTTTAGAACACTTACTCTTCCAGAGGACCTGGGTTTGATTCCCAGCACCAACGTGGTAGGTAAGAACCATCTGTAACTCCAGTTCCAGAGGATTCAACACCCTCTTCTGGCCTCTATGGGCACTGCACACATTTAGTGCACTTACATGCAAACAGGCAAAACACAAACATAAAAATATTTTTTAAAGTATATTTACAGCCCAGCCTCACAAAGTATATTTAATATTTTTGTTTTGTTTTTTGAGTCAAGTCTCATTTATCCCAGGGTGGTCACAAACTTACTAGGTAGCTAAGAAAGACCTTGAACTTCTGACCTTCATGTCTCTTCAGTACTGGCACTACACGTTTATGCCATCACAGCTACTAGCTATATGAAAGACCTAATAAAAGCTACATATTAATACTTGTAAATTAGATCTAACAACAAATCTTGCCTCATAACGTTGCAGATTGACATAATGTAGAGAAGTACTTAGCAGAGTACCTAGAGTCTACTAGAGGCTTCCCAAGGGCTTCTTGATATCAGAGTGGTGCATGCCTGCAATCCTGACACCTGACAGGGTGATAGCTTAAGTTCCAACCCAGCCTGTCTGTCCATGCCAGTCAGGACTAACAACAAAGTGGTAACCTATCTCAAAAAGAAAACAATGTAATGTTATTCCTGAGGATATTTTTATGCTTTCCCAGACTGGTTGTTACAGTTTGACCCCTCTAAGACTGATGCTGAAATTGAATTGCTGATACAACAGTGTTGAGATCCTTAAGAGGTGACTAGGTCATGGAAACAGAACTGTAACCTAATAGATAGTTGCTATTATTTTGGAGGTAAATTTTTATAAAAGCAGTTTCCTGCTGGGCGAAGTGGCAGGCCTTTGGTCCCAGCAGAGGCAGGTGGATCTCTGTGAGTTCAAGGCCAGCCTGGTCTACATATAGAGTGTTAGGCCAGCTGGGGCTACAGAGAGACCCTGTCTGGAAAAAAAACAAAATCAAAACAAAACAACATAAAAGCAGTTTCCTCTTGTTCATCTGCCCTTTTGCTATGAGATGCCAGCACCTTAATATTGGTGACAAAATAGCCTAAATCTTGATAATTCATTGTGTGATATCTAGAGACTGTCATGGCATGGCAAAAAGGCAAAGACGATCTAAAGGAGTGGGTTGATTTTTTGGTTTTTGTTTTGTGTTTTCGGTCTTTTTGAGACGGGGGGCTTCCTTGTAGCCCCAGCTGGCCTGGAACTCACTATGTAGATCAGGTTGGCCTTGAACTCACAGAGATCCACCTGCCTCTATCTCCCCAGTACTGGGATTAAAGGCATGCGCCACCACAACCAGCCTTAAAGGAGTTTGTACCACCGTAAATATTATAAAACATTCTCTTATTTTGGTCTTTTTGAGACAGGGTCTCCCTGTAGCCCCGACTGGCCTGGAACTCACTAGGTAGACCAGGCTGGCCTTGAACTCACAGAGATCCATCCCGCCTCTGCCTGGGACTAAAGGCGTGAACCACCATGCCTGGCTAGAAAACATTTTCTTTTTTTATTTTTATTTTATGTGTATGAGTGTGTTGCCTGCATGTATGTGAGTGCACCCATGTTGTGCAATGCCATGGAGGTCAGAAAAGAGCTTCGGATTCCCCTGGAACTGGAGTTAAGGACAGTTCATAGCTGCCATGTGGGTGCTAGGAATTGAACCTGGATCCTCTGCAAGAGCAGTCAGTGCTCTTAACCACTGAGCCATCTCTCCAGCCCCGAAAACATTCTTTAAGAATATCCTTTTAATAAACATTTGTCTGGGGCTGGAGAGATGGCTCTTGTAGAGGACCCAGGTTGGGTTCCCAGCACCTATGCAGTGGCTACAGCTAACAACCATCCTCACAGTTCCAGGGGATCCAACCCCCTCTTCTGGCCTCCATTGGCACTGCATGACAAGTGTACTTACATGCAAGCAAAACAGTAATACACATAAAATAAATTTTGCCAGGGGCTGTTGTGATGGCTCAATGGGTGAAAGCATTTGCTGGGGAAGTCTGAGGATCTGAATTTGATCCCTGGAACCCCTAGTAGAAGGAAAAACTAACTCCCAAAAGTTGTCCTTTCCTTGACACAAACTATGGCACAAACCTGTGTGTGCGTGTGTGTGTGCGCGCACACACACACACACACACACACACACAAATGTTAAAAAATAAACATTTTCCAGTTTGGTGGCACATACCTGTAATACCAGGAGTCAGGAGGCTAAGGCAGAAGGATCACCAGTTCCAGGCCGGCATGGGATACCTAGTAGGACCTTGCCTCAAAATACCCAAAGAAATACAAGAAACATTTACCTGAAAACAAATACTGAGATTTTTTTACATGATTTATTTAATAATAAACAATTAATGATACAAAAGTGTTTAGAGGATTCCAAAATTTAAATTTTTAAATACAAATTCACTTTGTAATATGAAAACATACAACATTATTCCTCTAAACATAATTTCTCATCTACAAAAATTTCTATACTAGAAAATTTGCAGAAAACAATTTTTTGTGACATTAAATGTACATTATTTACAGTTGAAAAAGTACTCTAAAAACTGTATTTCAGAAACTTGGATATATGTTATCTTTGTATGCAATTTCCCTCCCCCCTTCACCCACAGTAAAAAATAATCCAAAGAGAAAGCAATTATGCTTTTATAATAGCTGACTACTCAGCTGCATTAGCCCATCACTCAAGTTGCTTTCTTGGCCATTATGAGCCCCAACACTCTCAGAACAGCAGTGTGTCATTCAGCATGCAGCAATGGAAGTTTACTAATAATTAGCCATAATACACAGTGGTCAAAAAATTAATGACAAAGAACAGAGGAAGAATTTATGAGGTTTTACTGAAAACAGAAAATTTTCTTGAAGAAAATGTTTTTCTCCAGCATTTGACCTATATTTACATTAGGAAATAATCTTGTAATGTGAATAATTTGAAGTATAGGTATTAAAAATGGTCAAATTTATAGTAAGAAGGGAAAATGTAGATCATTTGTCTAATCCAATGCATCCCCCTGGCTTTTTTTTTTTTTTTTAACCAGGATGATTAAGGGCCCAGAAGATCACTCCCTTGCCCAAGGTTACACAGCTAGTTAGTGGGAGTGCCACTCACAGACTGACACCTTTGTAACATCCTACTTCTGAAACCCAGGTTCAGACATTATTATCACAGGCACATTTCAATTGTTGTTGTTTTCTTTGGGTTTTTTGAGGCAGGGTTTCTTGTAGCCCAGGCTGCCCTCTATTTCATTATATCACCGAGGTGACCTTAAACTCCTGCTCCTCCTGCCTCTACCTCCCAAGCACTGGGGTTACAGGTATATGCCACCACATGAAGCTTACATTTCAATTTTTTATGTTATTTTACAAACTAAAAGTATATAAAACAGTGCAGCCAACTAAAGTCAATCTAAGTGACATCATAATTTTAACAGTATAAAGTAAGTTTCTTGCATCTGAGTCAAGACTTAAATTATACAAATGGAATGAAAATATTTCCTATATAAATTTCCTGTTGACTTATATTTAAGTATTGTATTTACAAAAGATTCAGATAAGCTAATACAATGTAAAGTTAGAAAAGAAGCTTTAAAAATACTTATAGCAAACTGAAAAAAATCAAGAAGAATGTCTTCATAGTATAAAATGCCTGTTCCTTCACAATTGAATTCTGAAACATTTAGAAGAGAAACACTTAGGTTTTCCTCCCTCATCTAGCAAAGTCAAAATTCTAAATTATTTTTAACAATTATAAAATTAGGAACTTCTGTGGATCTATCTTAGAAAAATGAGTTCAATTGAAAAAATAACCATCATTCCTTTGGCATAGTAATTAAAAAGAGTTGGGCTCCAGCAGTTCATTTTGTTTCATAGCTACCTGAGAGGTAAATCCATTTGAATTGGACACCACCATCACGTAAGGCTGTGGCTGCTGCTCAGTTTTCTCAGTGCCTTCATTCAAATGATCTTCAACCTCCTTTTCCTCTGTTTCCTGTTTAACAGTTTTTGTTTCCTGAGCTTTGATGACTGAAGTGATTACAGTGCCGGGTGGGTGCGCAACCAGTTGTGAACTTCGAGAAAAGGTCACCACGGGTGTAGTAGCACTGAAGGATGGGGATGAAGCCACACTGACAGTCCCATTGCAAATGGACTGAATGTTGCTTGTAAGAACCTGCTGTACATGGGTAGTGCCAAAGACAACCGAAGGAGGAGAGCCTGGCTTCTGTGACTGCAGCATGACATTTTCTTTCAGTACCGTCATGGGCTGTGATGATGGAATAGCTTGTAAAATAAATCTCTGTGACCCAGCCCCTGATGATGGCTCTGTGCTGGCTATAACCGTTGTGAGGGGCACTGTCTGGAGTGTCACTGTGTGCAGCTGCTGATTGCCAGGAGATACAACTACTGGAACCTGGGTTGAAGCCTGTATAGTCCTATTGAGATTACCAAATAGAAGTGAGACAATTAGCAAATTCGATATCACTTAAAACTTTAATACTTGACAAGTTATTTTACATTCCAAATGCTACTTCCCCTATTTTTATCACAGCATAACAACAATCATACCAGACCTTGGTTTTTGTTTTGTTGTTGTTATTGTTCTTTTTGAGACAGGGTTTCCCTGTAGCCCCAGCTGGCCTGGAAATCACTATGTAGACCAGACTGGCCTTGAACTGATCCACCTGCCTCTGCCTCCTGAGTGCTGGGATTAAAAGTGTACGCCACCACCCCAGGCTTCAAACCTTGTTTTAAACATTATAAAGGCTTCCTGTGGTAGCACACATCTATAATCACAACATTCAGGGGGGCAGATGCAGAAGGAACGCTGCCTGTTCAAGGAGAAGGAGTGCCATGATTTTGCCACCAGTCTGGACTACAAAGTCAGACAAACAAACAAAAAATCCGAGGCTGGAGAAATGGCTCAGTGGTTAAGAGCAGGTTCGATTCTCAGCACCCACATGGCAGCTAACAACTGTCTATAACTCCAGTTCCAGGGGATTGGACATTCTCTTCTGGCTTCCTTGGACTCTGCATGACGGGGTGCACTTACATACGTGAATACAAAACACTCATTCACATAAATTAAAAAATGCATCATGGTATCTCTCAGATTGCTGTGGCCTTAGTCTATTAGATATATTTAAAAGAACAATATCAGCTGGGTGTGGTGGCACACACCTTTGATCCCAGCACTCAGAGGAGGCAGAGGCAGGTAGATCTCTGTGAAATTGAGGCTAACCTGATCTGCAAAGCAAGTTTTAGGCCAGCTGGGGCGGCAGCAAAACCCTGTCTCAAAACCAAAAAAAACCAAAAGCAAACAAAAAGTCCTAAATGTTCTAAAATCCGAAACTTTAAGAGTGAGCATGTTGCATAAGAAGAAAATTCCACACCTAACTCTATGTGATGGGTCATAATCAAAACAGGTACACTCAAAATATTATTTTTAAAATGATGCTTAAATTTATATGAATGAAGTATAAGTAAACAGATCTGAGGTTTATATTTAGGTTTGGTTACATTCCTAAGATAGTTCATTATATGCAAACATTTCAAATTCCAAAAGCAAAATCCACAATCTGAAATTGTTCTGGTCTCAAACATTTTGGAGAAAGGGTACTCAGCTGGTAGGTGACTGATTTAAAGAAAAGCAACTTTAGAAATGGCCAGCTGGGGCTACAGGGTGACCCTGTCTCAAAAAGACAAATTAAAAAAAAAAAAAAAAAAAAAAAGAAGTGGCAGGCCGGGCATGGTGGCACACGCCTTTAGTGCCAGCACTTGGGAGGCAGAGGCAGGTGGACCTCTGTGAGTTCAAGGCCAGCCTGGTCTACGTAGTGAGTTCTAGGCCAGCTGGGGCTACAGGGAGACCCTGTCTCAAAAAGACCGAAAAAAAAAAAAAAAAAGAAGTGTCAAGTATCCATGGAACACTCAGGGAACTAGGAAACTAGACATAGTGATTCTGAAAGAGTTTGAAAACCACTGGAAGTAGAGCTCCCAACTTTCTTGGCACGTCTTATGTTTTGGATTGCTTTTTATTTTATTTTGTTTTTGAGACAGGGTCACTTTAAGTAGCCTAGGATGGTCTGGAACTTGTGAATCTCCTGTGTCAGCCTCCTGAGTGCTGGAATTATAGGAATAAGTGACCATCATGCCCTTGACTATTTTTCAGAAATTGACATTTAGAGTAAAATCTATCATTTGCATCTAATACAGTATCCATAATCTAATACCTATTTTGCCAGTATATTAATTGTACAAAATGTTTCATTATGACTTTTTTTTTTTTTTTTTTTAGTCTTTTTGAGACAGGGTTTCCCTGTAGCCCCAGCTGACCTGGAACTCACAAATAGACCAGGCTGGCCTTGAGCTCACAGAGATCTGCCTGCCTCTGCCTCCCCAGTGCTGGGGTTAAAGGAAAGGCCTGTACCACCACGCTCTGCTATGACATTATCATGTACTATTTAGTCACACACCTCAATTTAGTGCCTTTCAAAAGTAGGGATGTTTTTTGTTTATTTTCCTGTTTTCAAAGGGGCAGTCTGAGTAATTCTAAGAAGAGGGTCCCAGTGACTAGCTGTGGCCATCAAATTTCTTCTGTCAACACAAATAAGCAGAATAAAGTTGGCCTAGAAACCAGTGGAAGAAACATATACTCCAACTATACATTCAGTTATCACATGTGACAAATAGAACCCAGAAGCAAATAAAACATTAGAAGGAAAAACAGAGAAGAAGGGCTAAAGAGGCATTCCTTTAATAAGATTTTCTTTTAAAGTACCAGTCCTGTCCAATTAAGACAGAAAATAAAAATCAACTTGCATCTTTGAATATTTGTAAATATCAAAATTGAAATCTGAGCTGAGATAGAACGTTTGCCTAGCATGCATAAGGTCCTGGAGCTCCATCTACAATAAATACCTCAAAGGAAAAAAAAAAAGTCTAATTTTCTGTCAAGGAAGACTGAATCATCCATATCTGTCTTTAAGTAACAAACTTGAATCAAGATCAATCAAACAGAACATCAGCATTTATATTATACAAATTTAGGGTAGAATGCTGCTAATGGTAATAATCATATTCTTTTTTGTTTTCTTTTGGTTTGGTTTTGGGTTTTTTTTTTGAGACAGGGCCTCCCTGTAGCCCAAGCTGGCCTGGAACTTGTTATGCAGATCAGACTGGCCTCAATCTCACAGAGCTCCTCCTGCCACTGCCTCCTGAGTCCTAGGATTAAAGGCATGTGCCATGCCTGGCATAAAGAACCATTTTCAATGGCTCCATAAGGGTCAATAATAATGTTCTGGAAACTGTGAGAGAATAAATGGAGGGACCCCAAGAACCACAAATAAGCATGTAATTTGGGGTCTTCAACTCCTGCCCCATTCTAAAATCAAATGAGAACAGTTCTAAGTTTCTGCAGAAGACCAAACTAAGGATAGGGTTTTCTTAGTTGATTGGTTGTTTAGCATTTTTCCTGGGACTCTTATGTAAGTCTGATTTGATTAAACTATAAAAACTTTTCCATCATCTGGCACCTGAAAATGACCGGAGGTTCTTGACCTCCCCACTTAAACTTCAGAACTGTTCCAAAATAGAATCTTCCCAAACAATAGCATTTATTTCTTGGTACTCAGTGCATTCTAAATGTTACATTATGACAATTTATAGTAAATTTTTGTAGATTCTGATACAGTAGGCCAAATAAATTGATAGAGTAACATCTGGTACATCTAGCCCTATCTAGGAGATAGAGGCAGGGTACATTTTTAAATAGCAAAATAGCAAATTTGGGCCACTCAAGGCTATATATTTGTCTCAAAAAAAGAAAAGAGGAATCACTGATAAAATAAGAATTTTAAAAAATATTTTTATTTATTATTTTATGTGTATGAGTGTATTGCCTGCATGTATGTGAGTGTACCCATGTTGTGCAATGCTGCGGAGGTCAGAAGAGGGCTTCAGATTCCCCTGGAACTGGAGTTAAGGATGGTTCATAGCCGCTATGTGGGTGCTGGGAATCGAACCCGGGTCCTCTGCAAGAGCAGTCAGTGCTCTTAACCGGTGAACCATCTCTCCAGCCCCAATAAAATAAGAATTCTATCTAAAGATTTTACTTCTAAATCTTGACCCCCTTAGCAAATAATGTCTCTGATCAGAACATCGTATAGAGATATACACTGATCGTTTTATTAGTGTTCTCACCTAACACTCTGAACCGAAGAATTGACTGTTTCTTCCTGCACAGTACTGGTTATGGTTGCTTCTCCTTCTGGGACAGCTTGTACTGGCTGAACTACATGAACAGTCCTGAAGAGCTGGGTAGGATATGGAGCCTGTGAGGGCTGCACTGTCCTCAAAATGTCTGATGGCTGTGCAACTTCCACAGGATCTTTGGGTTTTGTAGCTTTAGGATTCCCTGGTTTTAGAATTGCAGTGGCCCCTCCTTTTATTCCTGGACTTGAAGATACTCTTGATCTACTTGCTTGATTCCGACTTGAGGTGGCTGTTGACGATAATGATGGATCGGAAGACTCTATGCTAGAACTTGGATCCTCATCATCTATATATATGAGATCTTTCGGCATTTCTTTAAACTGATACACCAATCGCTGACCTTCTACTTTTGCCAGAATACCTCTTTGGTAATAGTACCTAATAAAGAAGACAATTTCATCAATATCCTATTCAATCAAACATAAATTAAAATGATAGTCAACAAAATAAATTTTCTTAATCATAAAACTTTAAAGTTAGAATCAAATTTATTAGGCCAAGAGCCTGTGGCTACACAGGATTACTATTCTCCTTAAACAGACATTAAACTGACTCCTAATGACTTACTGTTTTACCCATACATTAGTGCATTTCTCAGTTCTCACCAGAGAAGCTTCTTGCAGTAGAAGCTTCTTCTTGGCCACAAATGGTCAACACAGATAGACTAAGAGACTGTGGAGTGCTCAGCCCTAAATAGGACAACTATATCACCCTCTCCTCCCAAGGCTCAGAGATTGTTGTGGAAAAGAAGGCAGAAAGATCATAAGCGCCAGTGGTGGTGGATGAATATAAGAAAAAAAATGTTTTCCAGATACACAGGCAACACATGTGAACTCATAGAAGTTGTGACAGTATGCAAGACCTAGGCAAGTTCAAACCAAACAAAATCCCAACATGGAAGGGGGAGGTGGGCAAGAAGCCCAACCCTAGATGAAGATCTATTGGCAACTGATAGCTGCTGGGAGAAGGAAGAGTCCGTTTTCTTTAAAGAAGTAAGGTTTGATAGGTTAACCAGACTCCAAGGAATGGACCCACTGCATCCCCAAGAGCATTTGGGGGACACAAATTAAAAGATTTGCTAGGCCATGGGGCTGGAGAAAAGGCTCAGTGGTTAAGAACACTGGCTGTTCTTGCAGAAGACCCAGGTTCAAATCCCAGCACCCACATGGCAGCTAACAACCATCTGTAACTCCAGTTCCAGGGTATCTGACGCCCTCTTCTGTCCTCCCTGGGCATTGCAAGATATGATGCATTTACATACATGCAGGCAATACACGCATAAACATAAAATAAAAATAATAAAAATAGTTTTAAAAGGTCGTGCTAAACCTTAAAAAATGATAAAGAACATGAAATGGGTGGGGGTAGGAAGGTGGGGGTAGATCTAGGAGGGGATGGGGGAGGGGTCTGAATATGGTCAAAATACACTGTATGAAATTCTCGAAGAATTAAAAAACATTTTTGAAAATGAGGAAATTTGTAAATGAAGGGCAGTTATACAGAATATACACATATATTTATACACAGATTAAATCTTCACTAAGGACTGACAGGATGGCTCCGTAAAGTGCTTGCTATAAGCATAAGGTCCTGAGTTCAGATCTTCAGCACTCATGCAACAGCTAGACCTGGTGGCACATATCTGTAATTTGACTCAATTGTGTGAAGTTTAGTTATATACAGTAAAAGTGATCCAAATGTTGGCACTGAGTTCAATAAAATCAAAACCTTAAGCAACTCTTGAGAAACTGACAACCCGTGTCTTCTTTGTATATTGTCCTTTCTATAAGTGTCTCTTTCTCGATCTTTTAATGCCCATGCTGAGATCTATATTAAAACATTTCCTTAATACATTGCAACTCAGCTTCACAAAAGCGCAAACAAGTATATTAACAAAAGAAAAATATAATCTTCTCGGTGTGGTGATGCATGCCTTTAAACCCAGCCCTTGGGGCTGGAGAGATGGCTCAGTGGTTAAGAACACTGGTTGTTCTTCCAGAAGACCCAGGTTCGAATCCCAGCACCCACATGGCAGCTAACAACTGTCCGTAACTCCAGTTCCAGGGGATCCCACTGCCTCTTCTTTCCTCCAAGGGCATTGAACGACATGGGTGTACTTACCTACATTCAGGCAATACACGCATACACACAAAATGTACCTTCTCACTAAGTACTTGCATTACCACTATTAGTACTTTGGGATGAATTTAAATGTATGAGTCCAATGGGTAATTTACAATCCTAATGATACACATCTTCTGATCCCTTTATAAATAAAACACAGATTGAGTATTCATTTTCTGAAATGCTTGGGACCAACAGTGTTCTAGAATTTTAGAAGTGCTTTTTAAGTTATTTAAAAATATTTGCATAGGCCTTGCCAGTTAAATGTCCAAATTTGAAAATGTCTCCAAATCCTAATGTTTTAACCACTGATCAGTGCTCAAAAAGTTTCAGAATCTGGATTTCTGATTTTAGACTAAAATCTGCTGTTTGTACGACCATTTTTGGAACAAAAATATTTTTCCCAATTGGAATAACATTTAACTTTAAATGTGTGCAGATTTTTGTAATTATTGTGGTCTTACTACTACCATAAATACAATTCACAGACTGGGGATGTAGCTTGGTGATAGAGTACTTGCCTAGCGTATACAAGGCCTTGCGTTCAGTCCTCAGCATTACAAAAAACAAATAGCACAAGTTCAATTCACCATTTCTTCAATCCCTTAATTTTTAAAGTTACCTATGTTTTCAATATATAGGAAATGATAATGCTTAGAACAACAGAAATGCCACATACCTGAGTGCTCTTCCCATGGTCTCGTAATTCATATCAGGTTTGTTTTTGTGCTTCCCCCACAATCTAGACACTGCTTTAGAATCTACCAGTTTAAAAATTCCTTTTTCTCGCTGTGTCCATTTGATGTATTTAGGGCAGGTAGCTTTGTCCTGAAGCAGTGCCAGTAAAAACTCCCATAGATAAATTGTGTTTCCTGAAACAAAACCAATTTATGTTTAAGGGACCAAATTTTCTTTTAAAAGAGCACCAAAAAAAAAAAAAAAAAGAAGTCTTAAAAGTTCCATCTCTAGTCACACAAAAATATTACATAATTCAATTGACTGATAAAATTCACTTAGTATTAGTGATACAGTCATAATTTTTAGGATTTAGTAAAGGTCTTCTTCTTAGTCTCATAAAAGATATCCGAACGGGCAATCTTCTGAATTAGATTTGTGATGACTCAAGGAGAAAATACGGAAAACATTCTGATTGCCTCTTCAAGAGTTATCACATAGTAGAAAACACCAAAAATTGTGCAAAGGTGGGCCATTTAATCACAGAACTTGGAAAGCAGAGATAGGCATCTCTCAGTGAGCAAGGCCAGTCTGGTCTAGTCTGTATAGCAAGTACAGGCCATCCAGAGCTGCATAGTGAGACTATCTTTTTTAAAAAATAAAATAAAACAAAACACAAAGACTTTCAATAGTCATTCCCTTCAAATTAGAACCAATACATCAACCATAATAGTGTTCTTCAAATTTGAGCCACAGCTATTAATAAAACTAGAACTTCAAAACAACATAATATAATCTATGAACTCAAACTCTAGCCTGCTGAACTTCTACAAAAGCATCTCTAAATGCAAGAACAAATTATCATAGGTAAGTAAAACTAACTCAAATGGATTTCATAGACTACTTTAATACCAGCCTCTTTACAGAAACTGATAACTGTCTATTGTAAGCACTAAGCAACAGTAAATTCTATTCAGTTTCTTGGGTTTTATTTTTGGTGTCTTGTTTTCTTTGTGTTGTATTGTTTTGTGCTGTGTTTTGTTTGTGTTGTGTTGTGTTTTTCTGAAGACAGTGTCTCCCTTTAGCCCCAGCTGACCACAGGGACCAGGCTAGTCTCATCTCACAGAAATCCACCTGCCTCTGCCTCCAGGAGGGCTGGGATTAAAGGCATGTGCCACCACTCCTATCAGTAAATTCTGTTTGGATATAACAAGAAAACTGATGAGCTGAATGTGGTGGTGTGGCACCTATAATCCCAGCACTTAAGAGGTAGAAGCAGAAGGATAAGCAGTTTAAGACTGACCCTGGCTACATAATGATTTCCAGGCCAGCCTGGACTACATGATTTAACACTCCACCCCACCTCATCAAGAACAGTAAACCAAGAAAAGAATAGAGAGAAGGGGAAGGAAAAGAATGACAGGGGAACTCGATCTGTACTATAAGAAAATCAGAGTAGCACTTACCTTTCCCATCTTTATTTTTCTTCTTCACAGATATATTTGGTGTAGTGGTTGGGGAATCTGGCCGTGGTGGTTTTGTTTTTCTTCCTGAAATCAGAATAGCTTTGAATAAATATTTGCCCTCAAAATTGAAAGGAAATGGGTAATTTAGCTATTTTGTCATCTATTCAAAATTTCTAGTGGCAAATTTTTATATATAGGTCATATAAACTGGTCTCTCAAAAGGCTGTTGACGAAAAGAAAAATAACCAGTGAAAATTGAACAGTAAGGAGGTTAATCACAAATAATCACTTATACATGAAATTATTCTTCAGGACTGGAGATATAGCTCAATGGCAGAGAGCTTGCCTAATGTGCACAAGTCCTGAGTTTGATCCCCAGCACTGGGTCTGAGTTTGATCCCTAGCACTGGGGTGGGGAGTGGGTAATGAAAAAGAAACCAGAAACTAAACTTCCACTCATCTATAAAAATAAGATTAAATTTCAAATATTTTATTTCATCTTTGAGAAAATTACAATAGTGCTTTCTTAAAATTTTGAAGCATATTCTTGACATTGATAAAACTTGGGCTTGGGGCTGGAGAGATGGCTCAGCATCTGCAAGAACTGATTGTTCTTGCAGAAGACCCAGGTTCGAATCCCAGCACCCACATGGCAGCTGATAACTGTCTGTAACTCCAGTTCCAGGGGATCCAACAGCCTCTTCTGTCTTCCACAGGCATTGCACGACTCGGGTGCATTTACCTACATGTAGGCAATACAATGCATACACATAAATAATAAATAAAATATATATATTTTTAAAAAGAATCCACTTTCTTTAAAAAAAAAAAACTCGGGCTTAAAAAATAAGTAATAAGGCCGTATGTGATACTGCATGCCTTTGATCCCAGCAACTCAGTGGGGAGAAGGAGGTGAATCTCTTGAGTTTGAGGTCAGTCTGATCTATTTTGAACATTCCAGGACAGCCAGGGCTACCCAGTGAGACTTTGTCTCAAAAGAATAAAAAATAAGATGGCTCAGCAGTTAAGATCACTTGCTACTCTTGTGAAGGACCAGAGTTCTGTTGCCAGCACCTTTACTAGGTGACTCACAACCACCTGTAACTCTAGCTCCAGAGGATCCAATGCCCTCTTCTGGATTCCAAAAACATCTGCACTCACGTGCACATACCCACACATAAACATATAATTAAAAAATAAAGCAAACAACATGAAGGAAAAAGAAGAAAACAAACTGCCCTCAGAAAAACCTGCCATTACCAAGCTCTTTTTGGCTCTGGATAAAAAAGTTTAGATGAAAACTTGAGGTTTTAAGAAAACTGAAAAATCTAAGCCAGTACAGATGATTCAGCAGGTAAAGGCACTTGCTGCCAAACCTGACAACCTGAGTGTGATCCCCAGGTCCCACACAGTAAAAAGAAAGAACTGTCTCCCTACAAATTGTCCTCAGACCTCCACAAATGCACCATGGCATATGCCCACCTACCTACACACACACACACACACACACACACACACACTCACATGCGTGCACATGCATATGTAAAATGCAATTAAAAACAAAGCTGGAAAATCTTTCTGTAAGACATACCAAATATTTTCAATGCATAAGATAATTTTTAGGAGGCTAGAGAGGTGGCTCTGCAGTTAAGAGTACTGGTTGCTCTTGCAGAGGACCTGGGTTTGATTCCCAGCACCCACACAGCAGCTAACAACTGTCCTCGCTCCAGTTCCAAGGGATCCAAAACCTTCTTCTGACCTCCACAGGTTATTTCCCGACATGGTTACACTTACATGCCTGCAAACAATACACTCATATACAAAATAAAAATAATAAAATATTTAAAAGGTAATTTTTTAAAAGAAATGACTACTATGAAGAAGTATCGCAATTTGTTTGATGCCCTCATTTTTCACTTACATTTCCTAATTAGTGCAAAAATATCCTTTAATAAAAATCACATTAAGACTGACCATTCAAGCAAAGCAAGTTAAGCGCCCACCTTTCTTTCTTTTAGGCTGTTCTGGGGATGAGGCTTCTGGTGAGTCTGCATATGTCTCCTGCACCGGTTGAGTTTCCATCACTTCGGGAATGCCATCTAATGTGACGGATACATGGGTGATTGGAGCAACAATGTCATCTTCAGAGGAACTAAATATATTATTATCTAATGGAAATAAAATTAATTATAATCAACTTTATTATAAACCAAAAAATTTCACAAAATACCTTCTTGTTTCTATGAAGATTAGAGTAGATATAAAATCTTAAAATCCCCTCTCTGCTTTTTATTTCCTCTGCTCTACATCAAGGCTCCTCCATTAGCCCAGCCTGGGCAGGACGTGCCTTTCTACCAGCAGTCTATCTTCGCTCTCATCCCCACATCTGTTTTCTGAAACCCAAGTTCGATCTGACCAAATTATTTCACTATATAAATGCTTTGTACTCTGAAAATAAAAGGGATTATAGGAAAAATATTTCCCTATAATTTACTGAGTAAAAACAATATAAACAATCCGAACTCCATAACATGCCTTTCAAAGCTTCCATAGTCTAAACCAAATGTATCTTTCCAATCCCATCTCCCATTTACCATGACACTTAACACTTCAACTCTATAAAAACATTTTTCTCTCAAAAAAGTTTTTTTTACAAGTTTGTGTCTATGGTTGGATCCATTGATTCCCTCCAACTTTAATATCCATTCCTGTCTCCTCTATCTATCACAAGTGCAATTGTCATTTGGTTAAACGTTCCTTCCACAAAGCTGATATTCTCAGATGGCACAGAATTGCCTCCAAAACATTCTGTAATCACTCTTTCAGTTCTCAGCATCATTCATACATGTAACTGACTTCAACGTTAAACTCTAAGATTGAGGAAACAAGTAGTATCTATTCTTTGATAGCATGTCATTGCTAATGCACTGCTGTATTTATCACAAATTTCAATATATATCTTGAATTCATTTAGCAATTTTTTTCCAAATCTCAGTCCTTCCTTGTCAGAAAAGTCAAAAGGAGAAAATCAATTTAAAAACAGATCAAAGGCTGAAGAGATGGCTCAGTGTTTAAGAGCTCAAACTGCTATTCCATAAGTACTGTTCCTAGCACCTGTGGCAGAAGGTTTATAACTACCTGTAACTCCAGCTGCCTCCACAGGCACCTGTACAAATGTACACACACACAAACACATGCACACACACACACACACACACACCATTTAAAATAAAATTTAAAAAATAAAAACAATCTGGCAATGAATTTTATGCAACAAAGGACTAGTAAATTTTTCAATAGGCTTTGCCTACTCACTATGATTACCTGTACAGACGAATTATACTGTGTTCAGTATAGTCTGTGTTCAAAAACCAATGAGATTAAATTAAGAGACAAAATTTTACATAATCTATTATCTGATAAAAGACAGATTAGCTTTTGTTCTAAAAAGCTTCATTCCTGAAATCATAAATTCTTTAAAAAGAACATTTTAGTTGTTACCTCAACTAGTACTTATCCCTTAAAATGTGTTTGGGACCCCCAAAATATTAAAAAAATAAACAAACCAGTCTCTTCTGTTCTGACATTCGTCACCTAATAGGAAGGGGTGGCAAGAATAGCTGCAAAGCATACAGGCTGTGCAGTCATGGGCACTCACTTATTCGTTTTTCATCCAGTATGGGACCAAGAGAATCCATATTAAGGAGTGCCTCTGCAGCCTCAATGGTTTCAATTGTTTCATCTCCATTGTGACAAGAAGCTTCAACTACAACATAAAGAAAAAACAGTATTAGCTGCAACATATTTTCTGCTGAGATTCACATCCTGCTGATCTCCTGATATATATATTTAGCATATAAACTGTAAGATATAAAACATATAAAATAATAATGAATCAAAGTATTTTCCTGTATGATTTTTGTGGGAGCAGGAGGCAGAGGTGGATGCATATGTCTTACAATGTAGCCCATGCTGACCTCAAACATGCAACAATATTCCTGTCCCACCCTCCCAAGTGCTAAGATTACTGGTGTGAGCCACCACCCAATTGCCTTTTTATTTCTTGACTTTTAAAAAAGTGTTAATACTATTGTCATTTTTATTGTTATATATGTGTGTGTGTGCGTGCGTGCGTGCGTGCGTATGTGTGTGTGTGTGTGTGTGTGTATGATATGTGCGGGCATATGCATGCTACAGTACGCAAGTGGAAGTCAGAGGACAACTTTGTGGAGTTGATTGTCTCCATCCACCTCTACATGGGATCTAGGAATAGAACTCAGGTTGATGCACTGAGCCACCTCACGAACCCTTTTGGGGGCTTTTTGTGACAGTTCTCTACATATAGCCCTAGCTGGCCCAAAATACACATTGTAGACCAGGCTGGCCTCAAATGTGTGACAATCCTTCTGTTTCTGCCTCCTGAGTTCTAGGATTATATGCACGCATCACTATTACCAAGCATCTATCTAGTTTTTATTTTAAAAATTCTTTGTCCTCACCTCCCTCTGCTTCCCTGGGCCTGCACCACCGGCTAACTCTACTAGCCTGCACTACCATCCTCAGGCCTCTTGGGGTAAGTCTATAGCGCAACTCTCGCGCCCGGACTTCCTAAGGCATATTCACCCTTCCATCCCTCCCCCCGTTCTATACTCCTAGTTTGGGCCCTACGCCATTCCTAGTCTTGGGGTCCCAGACACCTGGGGAACCAATACTGCTTCCTGATCCTTCTCACCCAGACCAACTCAGTCCCTTTCTTGGGCTCCAGGAGCACCGGTTCTGGTCCCGGCCCCGCCCTCACCTCCCTCTACTTCCCTGTTCCCCCTTCCCTCCCTCCCCCCGTTCTATACTCCTAGGTTGGGCCCTACGCCATTCCTAGTCTTGGGGTCCCAGACACCTGGGGAACCAATACTGCTTCCTGATCCTTCTCACCCAGACCAACTCAGTCCCTTTCTTGGGCTCCAGGAGCACCGGTTCTGGTCCCGGCCCCGCCCTCACCTCCCTCTACTTCCCTGGGTCCTGCAACACCCGCCAGCCTCTTTCTGGGGCTCCAAGGCTTACCTTTCCTCTCCCTGATCCTTTGCATCCAGTACAACCCAGCTACTCAATCCACTCCCTGGGAAATCTTGGGGCTTCTTCCCGCCCCATCTGCCTTTGCATCGCTGCGTGGCGCGGCCACGGCCAGGGTCTCAGGTCAATCCAACACCCAAGCTCCTGAGGCCAAAAGCATTCTTAGAAGATTCCAGACCTAAGGAAAACTTCTGATCCACAGTGGAATTGGGCCACCGCGGAACTCCTGAAGACAAAATCAATCCGGCCTCAACAATATAAAATCAAAAGAGAGA